GGGTGGACAGGTGAAGACGGACACAGCCAAGCTCCAAGCTGTAGTGGACTGGCCGGTTCCTGAATCCCGGAAACAGCTCCAACGTTTTCTAGGCTTTGCCAATTTTTACAGGAGGTTTATCAGGAACTTTAGTCTGATTGCTGCTCCCCTGACAGCTCTCACCTCCACTAAGAGAACCTTCTCCTGGTCACCCGAGGCAGACAAGGCCTTCACTGACCTAAAACAGATGTTCACTCAAACTCCCATCCTCATCCACCCAGACCCCTCAGAGCAGTTTATCTTGGAGGTGGATGCCTCTGATACAGGGGTCGGAGCTGTCCTCTCTCAGAGATCCCAATGTGACAAGAAGATGCACCCCTGTGCCTTCTTCTCCCGCCGGTTTACACCTCCGGAGAGAAATTACAACATTGGTGATCGAGAGCTTTTGGCCATTAAGCTTTCCCTTGAGGAATGGAGGCACTGGCTAGAGGGAACTGATCTCCCTGTTATTGTTTGTACAGATCATAAAAATTTATCTTACCTTCAAAATGCTAAGCGACTCAACCCCAGGCAATACCGATGGACTCTATTTTTCTCCAGGTTCAACCTAAACATTACCTACCGTCCAGGTTCTCGCAATATGAAGGCAGATGCTCTGTCACGTCAGTGCTCTCCTGACGAACCTTCAGAATCTCCCCAACCCATTCTTCCCCCCTCCTGCACTGTTGGGGGGCTTTCTTGGGACCTTGAGACTCTCATCCAAAGGGCTCTTAAAGATGAGCCTGATCCAGGAGGCGGTCCTCCCAATCGCCTCCATGTCCCTATGTCTGTTCGTTCTCGGGTCATCCAGTGGGCTCACTCATCCCTTTTCTCTTGTCACCCTGGTGTCAGCAGAACCATAGGGTTACTCCGCCGCTACTTTTGCTGGCCTTCCCTTAACAAAGACGTTGCTGACTTTGTTGCTGCTTGCCCCAACTGTGCCCAGAACAAGAACCTTCACCGTCCTCCCGCAGGGCTGCTACAACCTCTCTCTATTCCCAGCAGACCGTGGTCTCATATTGCCATTGATTTTGTCACTGGTCTGCCCATCTCTAACCATAAGACAACCATTCTGACCATAATTGACAGATTTTCGAAATCCTGTCATCTCATTGCCCTTAAGAAACTACCATCTGCTTCTGAAACTGCTCGTCTGTTGTTTTTCCACGTCTTCCGTCTCCATGGCATACCCACTGAAATAATCTCAGATCGGGGGCCACAATTTGTCTCCCAGGTGTGGAGAGATTTCTGCTCCTCTCTTGGAGCTAAATCCCGCCTTTCTTCTGGTTACCATCCACAGACTAACGGTCAGTGTGAAAGGCTGAACCAGGAGCTGGAAAATGCTCTTCGCTGCATTTGTGCCTCCAATCCATCATCCTGGAGCATACATCTACCCTGGGTAGAGTATGCCCACAATTCCCATATTTCAGCTGCCACAGGGCACTCTCCATTTGAAGCATCTCTGGGTTTCCAACCTTCCTTACTCCCTTCCTCCTTCCCGGACACAGTTCTTCCATCAGTCAGATCTCATCTTAAGAACTGTCATCGTATTTGGAACCAGACCAAGGCTGCACTCAATCGCACTGCAAAACAGAACAAAAGAACTGCAGATCGTAAACGCATCCCAGCTCCAGACTACTCGGTGGGTCAAAAGGTCTGGCTCTCCTCAAGGGACTTTCCTCTCAAAGGTTACAAAAAGAAACTCTCCCCTAGGTTCCTGGGACCCTTCACCATCCAAACAGTTATCAGTCCCACGACCGTCCGTCTCAACCTTCCTTCTCATCTGCGCATTCATCCTGTGTTTCATGTTTCACAAATCAAACCAGTTCTGTCAAGTGCCCTGTGCCCTCCTGCCAAGCCCCCTCCACCCGCCCGGGTCGTTGATGGACATCCTGCTTTTACGGTGCGGTGCATCGTGGATGTTCGCCCTAGGGGGCGTGGGCACCAGTTCTTGGTGGATTGGGCAGGTTATGGTCCTGAGGAGCGTTCCTGGGTGCCACGCTCTTTCATCCTGGACCCTTCCCTCATCTCGGATTTTGAGCGTCGCTCTGCCTCTTCCTCTGGTCGTCCGCCGGGTGGCGTCCGTTGAGAGGGGGGGTACTGTTGTGTTCACAGAGCTGCTTTGGTTTGGAGTTTCTGTTTTCTCCCCTTCATTTTCAGGGTGTGCCAGGCAGGTGAGGCTCCCAGCTGTTACTCATCAGCCACAATCAAGCAAGCAGTATTTAGAGGAGTGGATTCCCTGAGGCAGACGACAGATGGTTACCTATACCAGTGTTTTCCTCCTGCTGAAGGCTGGCTCCTGTTCCTCCCTCAACGGTGCTTTCCACTCCTCCCCAAGAGCTGTCTTTCAAGATCTGCAAAAGCTGAACTCGCCTGCCTGTCCACCCTCCAACGCCTAAAGAAACTGGTAACTCCAAGGTCTTCATTCCCCCCTCTCTGTGGACACTGTTGCTCCCCCTCAACCTGTTTCCAAGCCCTGAGAAGTAAGTCTGGCCTCACTGTTCATTTCAACATCAGCTGGTACTCATACTGATCACCTAACCTGTTTTGCAGTGAGACACCGCTCTGGATTTTCCTGTTTTCTCTGCTTCAGGTCTGAACAATAAAAACTCTTAAAATAAACCAGTTCTCCTGTCGTACGTACTGCTGCTGCGCCAGAGTCTTGATCCGAAATCTTGTCAGAACCTTCATCAGCATCAAGAGAAGACACTCTTTTAAAAGTAGACCAAACATGATTTGACATGCATTGTTCTGTTTTAGGCTGTGATTTCATCAAAGAAGAGTCGGTAATTACCGAGACCCTTTTTTATCTCTGCAAGCTGAAAAGGATTTATCTATTCATCACCCCTTTTGTTGTGTGTATCTCCCAAAGTTGTTGAATAAAGCTATCTGGAGTGTGTCTCCTGACTAATGAGCGATTGGATGGTTTTGCAGAGTGATAGAAAAACCTTTTTGTGCATGTATGAGTTTGTGCACACACCCACCCGCCACCCTGGTGGAGCAGAATCTGTGGAATGCAGAGAAATGCCCTTTCTGGACTGCAAGCCGGGCCTTATTACTAACAGGTGAGTTCTGCACTTTTCACATCAGAGAGCAACACATGTTAAACACTTTCGCATCAAAGCGAACACCGCTGCCTGCACCCTCTCCATTACACAGACACTCATATTGCCCTTTTCATCACAGCAACAGTTTTGTCAGTAATGTAAGCACATACATTCCTGGGAGCAGTGAGAGCAGGGCCTGGTTCAGAGTGTGCGCTCAAAGGCCTGTTTCTTCAGCCGCTCTTGTGCCGAGATGCATCTGGCACAGGGTTACCCTGTCACAAATTAGACCGTGTCACTCAGCTCCTATCCATTAAAATAGTGGTAAGCAGGTGAAGCGTGAAACTGATACGGATGTAGGTGGACAATGTCCGGCTGAACACCTGGCCGCCAAGGTGCTCTGGGTGGGAGGACAGAGCCTGGATGTTTTCCTCCCACTTCCTAATCAGAACTGTTCATCTGGTGTTATAGTCTTCCCAAACATTGTCTTTAAAGGACACTTGGATTTGACTTCTGCATTAACCCCATATGTATCTGTGATTCCATAACAGGATGAAAGAGAAATATAATGTTGACCTCACATTATGTGCACTGCGTTTTGAAGCTGATTCCTTTAAAGGAAAATTCACCTTTACTGTGAATTTTTGGCTAAATACATGAAACTGCATGACTGAATCTTAGAGAGTAGGTTTGTTAGAGCTTGTAAGTCTAAAGATTACATTTTCTAAATGCAAACAAATTGAATTTTATAAGAAACTTTAAGGCAGTTTTTTATGTACTTTCCAGTGGGTATTTGACTTTTGATGCTCAACCACTGTCCTTTGGAAAAACCTTTAACCTTGAAATGGAATGGATAAGGGCGCTACTAAGATGTGAGAGATTCTGAACTGTAATTGATTTTCTTGGATCAAATAATTCAGTAAGATGTTTAAATTCTCACAAAAACAAACAAATTACTGGCTATATGCTGGTTATAGCAAGGCCAAGAATAAAAGCAGATATTTTATTAATAATTAAACCTGACTTAAATAATGTTCAGACAGACTAACTAGATAGTAAATTAGATTTGTTTATGATTTACTAGTTCTAGTTTGTTGTCCATTCACACTGCCGTATAAAATATAATTACGTTTTTAGAGACAACTCATGGTATTTTGTCATTAATACAAATTTTATTTATTTTTCTAAATTGTAGATTTTACCTTTAAGATCTTTTTTAACCCATAAATTGCAGTAAACCTAGCAGACCATTCAAAACATCAGCCAAACACGGTGGTGACAGCAGCATGCTGTGGGGATACTTTAAAAAAAATAATGTCTAAATAAAGAATCTGTTTTATTTCTGATTTCCTCGTGATAGTGCTGTATTTTCTTTATTTCTATGGATTGTGCCTCGACCTGTTAAGAGCTTTTTTGACCCAGAAATGATTCATACTTTTGAAAACCTCCAAGATTGGCTTATTATTTCCTGCATTCCGTTTTAAATGAGATTTGAAAGAGCGCTCACCCACAGGTCAGCCAAAGCAGGGAACATAGCCTAATGCCTCTCAGCACATCACATGCTCATAAGGCTCTCCGCGGTTTTCACTCCAGACCTCAAATAAATCAATTTGTCATGAGCTTCTGTTTAGTAACCAGCTATTTGAGCAATTTCAACATCTCAAACTCTCTTTTAATGTTCCGGGGTTAGAGAAACAAGGCAGCGTTCACATGTGTTTTCCAGCCATACATCATTATTCTGCGCTGTTATTAATGTTCAATTACAAAATCTGAAAGCATATGTTATCAAAGCAATGCCAGATGTGTGCGGATGTCTGTAAACACGCCTTGTGTGTTTAATCCCCTTTGCATTTGCACATTTGCAGAGTAAATATGATGGCTCCACTTTAGGGAAACATTTGAAACCGATCCACCCCTCCCTCTCCTTGCCTAACCTCCTCCCAGAAACGGCGCAGCAGGACGCCTGTCTTAGCCAGCCGCGCCTCAATCCTTTGCATGAGAGTTTTGCAACGAAAGACAACAACTTGGAAAGTGCTTTTTAGCGGAGTTAAGAGAGAAAGTCGGAAGGAAAGGAAAGGGGAGGGGCGAAGTGAGCTGATGGAGTCGGAGATGAGATAGCCTTCTGCTCTCTATCTATCTCCCCATCCTCCCTCTTCCAGCCACCGGGGTCGGACAGCCACGCACTGCGCCGCTTCTGTTCCGGATGATGTGACTCTTCTGTTCAGGCGGATCTCCGGTTATCATCGTCCATTTTTTTTTAAATTTATTTTATTTTTTGTCAGCACAAAGGCAGCCCCATCCTTCCATTTGTGCCAGATTGAGAGTCAGCCGGACTTTGCGCACAGTTCAGCCAGAGGAGGCTCCTCACCTCGGTGATGGTGAGCGCTGGTAGGTGGCCCGACTAACCCTTGCAAAGTCTTTCTTTACTCTAGAAAACAATGTTAAAGTCAATGGCATAACTATTGATAAACAGAGACTGCAGTTGCTTGGGGACCCTCGACCTCTTAGGGGCCCCATCACTGGCACCTGGTTGGCCCCATACGCAATTGAGGACTGACGGTGCTAAAACTTAATTATTAAAGTTATTGTTTGTTGGTTAATAACCGTATGAATTAATCCTGTATTATAGTGCGTTTACCCCACCTTTTGGCACCTTCCCTATTTTTGACTATTGGGCCGATGTATATTTACCCACTTTGAGATCAATAAAGTCAATCTATCAAAACAATGAAACTCATTAACCCTTTATAGGCACTCAGTGAAAAACTTTGAAAATCCAAATTTTCCAGCCAGTAGTGTCATTGGAATCCAAGACCTTATTACCTTTGTAAAATTAAAAAATATGGATATTTTGATGGTAAAAATGAATGTCAATGTAATAAAAAGAAACGCCAAGTTGCCTAGAAAAATAATAGAAATAATAGAAATGTAATAAAAGTGCTTTTATAAGAAATTGATGAAAAACACTATGAAAGTGAAAGAAATTGGTATTTGTTGGTCCAACATAACCTAGAGGTATTAATGCTGAAACCTAAATATAATTGTTAACTAGGTTTATAAACTTTTAAACTTAGATTTTTACCTTTTTTTCTTGACTTGTTAACTTTTTTTCCAACTTAATATACAGTAGGTAATATATCATTCCAAAGCTCATCTAATTGGTCAAATGCCAAAATAAGATGTAAAGCCATGTAGCAATAACTTTGCTGAATGGCTGGATATAGATCTTGTGCTTCTAGACGTCACAAAGGGGGGGACTCCATTTATAAGGGGTATGCAGGTGATCAAAAATGGTAACTTGTCCTATTAAGAGTTAACTACCCCAATCAAAGTGACAAGAAATAGTTTATGTTTGGAAAAAGGCAAACGGATCGGTGCCTCGCAGAAATGTGTTAGTTTCATTCTGTTCAATTTCAACCGCACATTTCAATGTTTTCCTTTTTTATTCCCTCAGGTTTTATGTGACAGACCAAAGAGCTCAAACTGGGTCTGTGAAGATGGTGAACAATTACTCATATTGTATCTCTTTTTTTCTTTTTTTCTTTTTTACAAATAAAAGCTTATGAAGTATGGGGTTCACGCAGATTTAAAACTCCATAGAACCCACTTCCATTATAATTACAATATTTCCACGGACCAATATTCTAGATTGGCTTAGGCTCAGCTAATTGGATGAGGACCACATGTGTTTTTAATTTTATCACAGATTCTCAATTAAAGATAAAATTTCATTCCAGCTCTTGGATTCATTTAAATCAATGTTGTTACATTGCTGTCCTGCTGAAAGGTCTGAAGTTTGCACTCTGTAAAGGATTTTCTTCCTCGTCTTTAATCTATTTAATCATCATCATCAGTCCTCTCACCAACCCCATCAGCCTCCCTGCTACTGCTGGAAAAAACAAACAAAAAGCAATATAAACAGTTCCCTAGCATTATGCTGCCACCAGCATGTTTAATTGTGGGATTCTGTTCATTTGTTTCCCATGTCAAACGTTGTGCATGTCAGTCAAAAAATAAATAAATACTTTTAGTCTCATCTTACAAGTAAACCTTCTTTTACATCTTCTGTTCTCATACCGTCACAGCACAGCTGCATTTATACTTAAATTAAGTCAGAGTAACATGAATCAGTTTACCAATTATTTGCTTTCTGAAGGCTCTGGGTTTTATTTAGGGTTATCAAAAATGATAGGGGCTGATTACATGTGCACAACAACCTTTTCATATTTTTTATTTGTTGAATATCTGGGGAAAAAAAACATGTAGTGCTAAAAAAACAATAATAAGCGCAAAATAAATAAATGGAATAATTGTTAACTGGAGTATACTGACTCTAAAGCCAACCATTTGCTGAAGAAACAACCTACTCAGACAAGTCATGGAACTAAAACTGAGATAAAGCTCCTTTTGTGTTTGTATAAATGCTCCATCCAGAATTCCTAAAGATCAATTTTCTGACAAAGAAAGGATACGTATTTACACTATAATTGAAATGTGAAATAAATAATAGTATTTTTTATTTAAGACACTAGTTTATCAGGTTATGTTGATCTAATTCAACGATTATCTGTTTATAGATGAATCATTAGGCTTATTGGTTACTAAAATATTCAAATACTGCAGCCCTAAAACCATGCTTTCTTTTCACTTTGCTATTTTGTCTTACTTTGTATTGCAGTATATTGCATGGAAAATATAAACTAAGTTAAAGAGGTGTGATTACTTTATTGAAGCCTAGAGCTTATGGTTGGCCTTGATTGCCTTTTTAATGTTGCTAATGTTATGATGCATTTAGTTAAATCAGAGAGCATATTGTGCTATGAGGTAATCAGTAGGTTTATATACAAAAAATTGCCTGTTTATCATTCCAAATTCGCCAGAGTGTTATATCCAAGTGAGTCGGTCATCTTTTCAAGTGACAGTAGAACAGTGTTAGAACACAATGTTTACCCTAGATGTTTGGAATAACTTCTTAGATTAAATTACTGATGCTTTAATTATAACAGAGAGGAAACTGTTGGGTAAACTTTTGAAGGTTCGCTCAGAATTCATCACAGTTTTCATCTTGACTAACACATTAAAATAATCTGAAATGGATCACAAGCCGATTTCTCCACGAATCTTCATTTGTTTTTTTTGTCCAAGATCTGGACTCTCTTCTTTCCTTCTTCTGCTCTTGCTCAACAGCTCTTAAGACTTTCAGGAGGTCTTTTGAATTTTGTTGGACTTTGTTTTTGTTATTCTGGACTAAAAGCAGATTTTTTTTTTCTTTTCTTTTCGTGTGGTTCACTCTCACATTGTACCTCTTGAAAGACAGCTGTGACTTGTAAACAGGCTCCAGAAGCGGAGATGGAGGAGCACTTTAATATACGTCCTGGTTGTGGCATTTTGTGTTCTGCATATTTGGGCTGGTATTAAAGCTGTAAAGGCATTGTGTTGAGAGCAATAAATTTAACGCAGGTTTCACGATGTTCCTTTTCTTATTTGGTAATGGCGTCTGTGAATAAAAGCCAAAGGAGACATTGTACGGTGCGGTGCAGTGCGTTGCCAGCACCCCAGTATGCTTGCAGGAGCTTTGTTAAGAAAGTTCGACTGATGAAATTCAGCTACAGGCCTTGTTATATTCTCTCCTTCAGTCAAAAAAGGAGACTAGAGATAGACCGATACGTCACTATTTTTGGCCGATATTGCCGATTGGCATTGACTGATATGTGCGTTCATTTGCAGATTCATTAGCACATTCAGCAGCCAAGCCTTCAGATCACATGAAGCACCTGCACTGCCACTTCCTCCATTTGTTATCCAGTGAAAGCATGATTTCTTTTTATGGTAAATAAATGTATTTATTTTTTAAACTGAAGTTTGTGTAACATTAAATATCATTGTGTCATTTTATTTTTTTTTTATGTAAGCAGACAGCAAATGTCGGGGATCGATTCAATTGAAGTCAAAACACTTTCTACAAGAGCCTTTCTAGATGGATATGGTGTAGAAGATCAATCTGGCTTATGCCAGATTACAAGACATGGGCCAGGGAGTTAAAGCTTTTATCCTTTTAATGTAACTTACCATAAATATGCCACGAGATTGTTACATAAATGGTTAAGGAAAGCAAGCTCAGTGTTTTGCAGTGAACACGTCAAAGCCCTGATCTCTATCATGTATAAAGTTTGTTGGCAGAGCAGAGAAAGTATGAACCAGGTGGTCAACAAACCAGACCTAGGCTGAAGCAAACAATGACATCAGTCTAAATCATTCCAGATATGTGCAGCTGAATTTTCAGTATTCCTTTATTTTCCTCCATTTAAATGATAAAAATGACACACTTATAACAAACCTTACAGAAGTCACAATTAAATTAAAAATTACATTGAAAGCTTTGTTCACCATATATTTTATCCATAGTCAACCAGCTGCCTCTGCTAAAGCTGAATCTTAGTGCACATAAAGTCTACAATTGGGGTCACCTTTAACCCTTGTTATGAAAACAATGGATAATCCTTTTGTTAGCCAGGCTAAAGCTTCCATTAAATGTTATATTTCTCACCTTCTGTTCTTCTCAGAAATATCTCTTTTAATGCCTAAATAGCCTGCGGGTTGCTGGTCGAACCAATCACAAGTCAGCTGATGACTCCCTGCCTTCAGGGATGCAACAGAGGCTAAACGAACCCTTTTAAAGAACAAATGTAGACAACGATGGGCAGTCGTGGGTGAGGGGTTAGGGTGAGGGGTTAGGGTGTCAGACTTGGATCCCAAAGGTTACCGGTTTGACTCCTGACCCGCCAGGTTGGTGGGGGGAGTAATTAACCAGCGCTCTCCCCCATCCTCCTCCATGACTGAGGTACCCTGAGCATGGTACCGTCCCGCCACACTGCTCCCTTGGGGCGCCATTGAGGGCTGCCCCCTTGCACGGGTGAGGCATAAATGCAATTTCATGGTGTGCAGTGTTCACTTGTGTGTGCTGTGTCACAATGACAATGGGAGTTGGAGGAGTTTCCCAAAGGGCTTTCACTTCACTTTCACTTAAAACGAACAAGGCGTCTTTATCCTGCCTTACAGTGTTTGGTAAAGCTGGCTGCACAGCTTAAAAGCTCCATTTCTCCTTTGAGTTTAAAATTAATAAAACAAATTGTATAATAGATTATTCCGCATTTAAAAAACAATTATACATTTCATAAACCTAACTGACCTAAAACAGGACAAGTTAATACAATGCATGTAAACTCCTGGTCTCAGCTGCATACAAGAAAGAGCTGCATGTTTAATTTCCATACAGTTCATATTATTATTGTAATATTGTATTTGCTCAAAGCAGTTATATTATAAAGTATAAAGTTATAGCTGGTAACAAAGCGTTTGTGCTTCATTTGTAACTTAGATTCACATCAGAACACTTGAATGTGAAGCAACTTAAGCTTTAGCATGAACAGGCTGCTTCCTATAACATATTTTCAACTGCCTATAATATTTGCTCTTCTTTTAACGAGGGGAAATACCCTCATCCTCTTTTATGTTTTCAACTCAGGAACATTATAGCTGTAGGGAAATATAAATGCCAGATGGAGGTGCTAAAGTGAGTGCAAAGGAGTGGATGTCGATGACATGGAGGCAATTTTTATAAGAAGGAGGAGAAAATGATTTTGTTAGTCGTAAATGCCTTCACCATTTGAGGCTATTTTATGGATGATAGTAAAAAAGAAAAACAAAAAAAGTGAGCGGTGGACAACCCAGGTGCTTCAGTCAGCAAAAACCACACATTTGCCTCCCAGCTTCAAGGTTTTAAATCTGCATTTTAATCTCACTGAAATATTAAAAAAAGTTTGTCTGATTCAATCATTCAGATGAGACAACTTTAGCTTGATCAAAGCCAATCAGTGGGGAGTGATCTGATTATCATTTAGAAGTGCAAGAATATGCAAAGTGAAAAACTCACAAACACAAAAAAAGATCTATGTAAAAATGTGACAATAATCTCTGAGGTTGGATGCATTTACCAATGCAGTAACCTGCTGTGGTTTTCCTCCCTGTAGGTGCAGTCATGTGGCAGGGGATTCAGATTTGCTTCACGCTGTTTGCGCTGCATTCGGCAGCAGCGCCGGCACACATCAACCGTCTGGCACTGTTCCCTGACAAGAGTGCCTGGTGCGAAGCCAAGAACATCACGCAGATTGTCGGGCACACAGGATGTCAGCCTCGCTCTATTCAGAACAGGTCAGGATGAAGGCCGTCTCTGTCTGTCCCTCTATCTGATGAGCCTGACCTTCAGAAAGAAAATGGTAGCAATTCTTAGAAACAAAAAAATATCTGATATATATTATATTATTATACTTAAAAGTTTTCTATTTAATTTTGATTTATATAATTAAATGATTGATCTAATATAATTTTTTTACATTTAGTTTGATATTAGATCTTTCTCTTTTTTATTCTCAGTTTTTTAAAATGCTTTAAATCATATTGAGCATAATTTCAGGCAGCTTTAGTCACAGTTCTATTTCCTTTGTCTTATTTATCATTTCAGTTAATTTTATCTCAACCTTTATTTCTATTTCATTTTTTATTTTTTTTATTTTGCTTTTCTTCTAGTATTTCATGTCCCTTAATCTGATGAATTTACATTATATTGATGCTCCTCTGCTCGTGTTCATTGAAATGTTGACATTTAGCTTTTTTGTTGATTTTTAATATTATATTTTAACTGCTGAAATATTAACATTTTCTGTATATATAGTAAATAGAAGACCAAACACCAATAGAAAATACAGTGAAGTAAACTTTCTTCAAAATATTTGTTGCACATATTTCATCATATGTTTTTACAAACATATGATGATATTGAGTTTGATGATAAAAACATGTTTGTTTAAAGTGATTTCTTTTGTTGAGTTATAAATTCTCCCAAACAGTTTATTTTGACCTGCTGATATTTCAGATATGACGTGCATTTACATTTCTTGTCAAATAATTGATATTTCAGCTTCTTATGTTGGATTATGTTGAAATAAAAAAAATAAAAATAAAAAAAAACAGAAAATAAAATTTGGATCAAAGTTTAACAGTAAGACTTCCATGGCTAAATAATTTGCTATCCAACAATTGACCAACCTAGGCTGATGATAACTAGTCTCTGTTTTATGAGTGAGTGTTTTCCCCGGGGCCTCAGAGAATCCTAAGACTTTGCAAATCAGTTCAGCTTTCAGGCACTGTGTTTTTTTTCCCCCTGCAGATCTTGCTTACACAGGCGCAAGAGCTTCGGCCGACTCAAGCACCTCCTGTCTGTGAGGCAGGCGCATTAATGCACCCTCTCGTCCTTGTTATACAGAGCCTGTCTGGGCCAGTGCTTCAGCTACAGCGTCCCAAACACGTTCCCACAGTCCACAGAGTCCCTGGCGCACTGTGACTCCTGCATGCCTGCCCAGACACAGTGGGAAGTGGTAAGAGTTATTGCACATTAGCTCACGTAGCAAACACACGTCAACAGGGTCGAATTCACGCATGAGGGAAGAAGCGAGTTTGCTCCTTTAAACAATCTTCGGAAACAAAAACATGAACAGTAGATGAAGCAGAGGACAGTATTTTATATTCTGTTATTGGACCTTTGAATCCTGCAGGAAATCGGTGTTTTGAAAACACAGGCTTTGTGGTGGGGTGGATGTAGTTTGGAGAGCAGCCAGGTGACATGGAGGGTGGGGCCACAGGTGAGGTCACCTCCTACTCCAGGGGGAAATATTAATCCTCCTGGAGGTGAACATTTTTTTTTTACCAGATAAGTTTATTTTCTCATCTGCTGACCAAGAAAGATTAGAGAAAATGCAATTACTTTCCTCCTGGTTCTGTTGAAATGGATGCCTTTGTTGAAATGATTGTTGTTTCAGGACTTTTAACCTAATTGAGTTTGAAGCAAAGCAGAGTCAGTTCTCATGAAAGAGGACACTGCTCCCCGATGCTCTGGCTCTCGCTGAAATGCCTGAATGATCATTTTCAGTGGATAATGGGAACAGTGAGGAAGGGGAGTTTACTGAGGTCTGGAGAGCAGGCAGAGTTTGTGTAACAAAAACCTCAACTGCAGGTTTATCTATAGCTGTGTGAAAAAGGATTGTCCAGGTTTACCTCCTTCACACTGAGTGTCACATATTCACAGGTCAGTGTGACTTTTAACTGGTGTCCTTTCTTTCTTTCTTTCTTTCTTTCTTTCTTTCTTTCTTTCTTTCTTTCTTTCTTTCTTTCTTTCTTTCTTTCTTTCTTTCTTTCTTTCTTTCTTTCTTTCTTTCTTTCTTTCTTTCTTTCTTTCTTTCTTTCTTTCTTTCTTTCTTTCTTTCTTTCTTTCTTTCTCCTGCCTCCATTGGTTCCTTGTCTCAAATTTTCCTCTCTCCCTTGTTTCCTTTGGTTTTTTCTTGCGTTTCCTTCCTGTTATTTTTTTGAGTTTTTTTTTTTATTAAATTCAAGAACAAAAATCTGAAAGGGGAAAATAAATTTGAAAGTAAAATAAAGATAGTAGTCAGACGTTATAGCACTTTTTCAAAATTTATTTTTCAAACATTGTAAAACTGATATTATTTGAGACTGAAAAAAGTTTTTTGAGAGAAAATATTTTGTCATTGAATAAATAAAAGATTAATGAACATTTGGAAAATAATTTCCAAGGGAAAACAGCTCTCTCAAAAATATATTTCTACCCTCCGATATTGTTATATTTGCATTAAGAGTGAAAACATTTTCTTTCAAATATAGATATAATACACCACTGGTCAAGCATGTTGATTATTTTCCAAAAATAGAAAGGGAAACTGTTCAAGTTCAAACCCCATCGACATCTCCTTTCTCTGCAATTATTACAATTCTGAACTTCCACCATAAAACTGGCGAATTCAAACAAAGCACCGAATTGACGTCAATTCGGGGAAGTTGTGGTTCTGGCCTGTACTTTTGTCACGCCACGAAATTAATGGACTGGAACGGCTATTCCAATCAAGCCATCAGCTCTGGGGCTGGTCCGAACCCAACCGGGTGACGGTATGCTTCCCCTTGCTTGCCTTACAGGGCAGACGAGGGAAAGTACAGGGCCGCCGTTGTCCAGGCTACCATCACCGGGTCGGGTTGGGTCGCTCCGTCCCCCGCTTGCCCCCCCCCCCCCCCCCCCCCCCCCCCCCCCCCCCCCCCGTCAGCCGGAGTTCCCGGACCAGCCCTGGAGCTCTCGGCTCGGGTTCTGCGTGGACAATTTTGAAATTCTCCACGGACGTTTTTTTTAGGTATGAAAAGAAGGACATGTTCGGGAAAAAGAGGACGTCTGGTCACTCTACCATACCAACAATTTGGTGTTTCAGTGAGTGAGTGCTTGTTGCTATGATGCGTCTTTGCTCAGCAGCTTGGCTCGATGTAAACCAACCAATCAGCGCTCAGCTCATCTAAACATTCATGAGCATACTATACAAGGAAGAAAATCTGTCATTTCATTCTAGGGCTTTTAACCAGACTTGCATTAGGGGGCATAGAACAGCAAATATGCTATATATATATATATATATTAAGCCTTCTAAGTGTTTTCTTCACTTATACTCAAATCTCTTTCCCACATGTTTGCTGTTTTCCCTACTTGACATGCAGCAAATCTTTCAGTAGTGTCTTCCTTTAGTCTACTCTTTCATGAAAGCCAGATTTGTGGAAGGCACAAGAATGTGGAAAGGTATGTTCTGTTGATAGATTCATCCACCTGAGCTGTGGATCTCTGCAGCTCCACCCAGAGTTACCACGGACCTCTTGGCAACTTCTTTGAATAATCTTCGCCTTGGTCAACCTATCAGTTTATATGCATGCCCTTAACTCTCAGCCTTTTCAAACTTTTTTCTGATTTCTTTTGATGATAGGTTGAGGATTACTCCATGAGAAGGAGTTGGGATTATGGCTTTCTGAGCTACCACTGCTTTACTTTCTCCCTGATCTCTTTGCTGCGTGACTTTGTTCCCATGATGCTCTTGTTATCCAGAGTATCTTGATTTATATTAAGAATAAATTACACCCAGGTGGGCTGTATTTAGCAATATGGCTACTCTGAATGCAGTTAGCTGTACTGGATTTTATTTAGAGGTGTCAAAGTGTTGTCTCTGAATACAGATGTGTAAAAGTGGCATTAACAGTAAATGTGATTGTATGTTTGCTATGGCATGGATGGTTAAGATTTTGCACAGGCAACCTGTAAACAAACAGACATTGACATCTGATATTACAGAATGAACACTGAACCTGTTCAGCTACAATGATTTGCATGTTTGTGTTTGTGTGTGCATCTAGGTGACCCTGGAGTGCCCTGGTAGTGAGGATTCCCCACGGGTGGACAAGCTGGTGGAGAGGATCCTCCACTGCAGCTGCCAGTCATGCAGTAAGGAAACTGGCCAGGAGGGGGCAGTGATGCAGCTGTATCCAGCAGACAACACCCTGGATTCAGCGCCTTCTCTATCTGATCCCCTGATTGCAGATCCGTCCCACTCAGATAACCTCTCTGTCAAACAATCCAAGCCTCATGCAGATCATCATCACACGCTGCCCCACTCATCAGGCGGGGGTTAGAACCACCTGCTTATCCACAGTAATGACTCTGCACATCTTCTTTTCACTCTCCTCCACACTGCTTCCTATGTACCAGTTTGTATTACTATTGTGGCACTTTGAATCTGGCACCCCCCCAGAGATCTGTGATTTCGGAATGAGCTCACATAAATACCACACTCTATTTTTTTAATAATACTTACAGGTGTCTTGTGACTATAGCCGGTTGTATACTGTAGGGCTTTTTTTTCTGCTTTGAATGTCATAAATACTCTGTTTGAGGTAACTATCTCTAATGTTGTATGTATGTTAATAAATCATGATTCGTATCCAGTTAGACAAAGTCTGGAATTTAATTTCTGAGTTTTCCTGGTAGTGCAGTTTGTAACGCTGCTGACATGCAACAAGAAGGTTCTGAGTTTGATTTCTGATCCAATATCTTTATGAACGGAGTTTACATGCGTGGGTTTCCTTCTGGTTACTCCAGCTTCCTCCGATAGTCTACAAACATGACTGTTAGGTTAATTGGCTTCTCTAAATTCTCTAAATAAACCAGGGCGTACCCAGCCTCTCGCCCTTAAACTGCTGAAGATGGGCCCCAGCCCTAAAAGGAAACACTTAAGAAACAAAAGCCCCTTTAAGAAACATTACAATTATCTTTAGTTTGTGTCTGTTTTCCTCCTTACCTTATGTCTTTCCTCTTTTCTAAATTGGCTACCTTTCTTCCTTTCACAACATCTTTTACCACTGACAGATTGTGATGTTTCATCTCAGTGTTTCTAATTTTTCTGATAATGAACAGGATGTTTAAATCCAAAGATAATTTAAGAATGTAAATGGAGCATCATTTTAAGAAACAAGGCTATTTATTTCAATTGAAGTAGATAATTGAACATAAAAAAAAAATACATTTTCTATACCTGGTTGTTCATCAGTGTCAAAGGTATGTATCTCTAGCAGCCTTTGGGTTAAAGGTGGGTTACACCCTGGATACTTTCGAAGTCCATCACAGGGTGACACAGAGACATAAAACCATGCACACACATGCAATCTCATAAATCTCAGGCCTATGGCCAGTTAAGACACCAATCATCCTAAGTGTAAGGTTTTTGGACTATGGGTTTAAACCGGAGTATGTTAAAGGAAGTCATGCATGCACAAGGAGAACAGTAAACACAGAACAGAAAGCCATGGTTCAAGCCCAGGTCTTTTTTGCTGCAAAGCAACAATAACTATAGATCACAGCATTGTACAGCTTTTTTTTTTTCATGATCCTCAATAATCACAGGCTGGACCATATTTTGAGTATTTTTTTGTTGGTTTCCACTGGGATTTTGCTTATTTATTTAATCAAGGTTGTGAGCTCCAGCTCTTTGAGCTCCTTTTCGTCACCTTTATCTTCAGCCCCACCGAACAATTTCAAGCTGGAACTCTGGATGAGACCACTCCCAAAAAAAAAATAATGAAGTAAAATCACTAAAAATGCAATCTGTATTATATAAATATTAAAAATATGGGGCTTTTGAATTAAATAATGTATAATATGTCTGCTGAATGTGTTCTCTAAAGGTTTACCCATGACCCCTACACAAAAACAAAGCTATTTAGTGTCTTTTGGCATGCAGACAGTACTTTGGATCAACAGAAGTCCAGTGACAGCAAAAGATTCTATTGATGCTGCATGAGCAGTGGGAACAAATCTGTTACATAAGATGAAAAATTTTGCCCGGGGTTTGTTCACTATCTGTAGTAAAACACTAAGCATTGCAGGAAACCAAGATAGAACATTAGCCTGAAAACACCATCCCCTCAGTTAAACATGGTGGTGGCAGCATCATGTCATGGGGGTTATTTTCTTGAATAGGGATAAGGAGTTTACTCATATGGGAGGCAGAGAATGGCACCATTATGAATGTTCTCCTTTAAACCAGACAGTAAAAACACTTTGATCATATTATTAATGCCTAAAGAAATTAAACTATTATTTTATCCACAATTATTGTGGAATGCCACCTCTTTAATAAAAAACTGAAAACCAAAAAATATTTTAGGAGTTCCGTTTAGGCTAATATGAAGTAGATAACAAATTCCTGCAATGAGGCATGAGCAAATTGATGGAGGAACAAACAGACGGATGTTTGCCTTTTAAATGACAAGAAATACCTTGTGTTCCTCTTGTCACTGGCCTTGGATGGATTACCAAGGTAACAGGATGTTGTGCGGCTAATGCATGGCTCGAGGCACGGGGACAGAGTCAAGGGCAGAAGAACATGGGTTTCTCATAATTCACCTCAGTAAGGAAAAGGTCTAGAAACCATTCATGTAAAAACTCTCAAAAATCAAATCATTTATTCTAAAAGGTTCAGATCTTGTCCAGCAGATGTCAGCAGATTGGCACTCAGAAGGGAAAATACTCAGGTTTTCCAACTTATCTTCAATGAGATTATCTATAGCATCTTTTCTTGTTCTTCATCTTACCATCTCTTCCTCCTGTCACCATGTTCAGGCCTCGTCTGTTCTCATAACGTCCTCTCATGTGGGCCTCTTCTGTGTAATTAAATTTGATCAGCAAAAGGTTGGATGTCTGTCTGCGCTGAAAAGCAAATCGATCACACTGTTATCTCACAGCAGCACATGCTGACAATGTTTTCAGGACTCTGATGGGCAGAGCATGGAGGCAGAAATTAAGAAGGCCATTTCTGAACACGTCAAAGCTTTTTGTTACATTTTATCTGGTTTATACAGTGATAAATTCATCCTTTACCCTCCAATCTGCAACCCTACTCACTCTCACACTAAAATACAGACTTCTGCACTCTTAACCATGGAGCCTGAGCTTACACTGCTGTTATAGCTAACTATCTGCTTGATTTGAGTAACCTTTTCTTTGGTTTATGATGTTTAATTTCTGATAAAAGCATAATTTGTCCTGAGAGCATTATTTAAATGATATAAAATTTAGGGTATATTCTTAGAAAGATGAGAAATATCATTAGATAATGAACTTGAGGTCAATATACCTCACTAAGATTCGGCTAATGCTCACAAAAATTTATCTCTTTCGTTATTTAAAAGCTTCTTCGGTCAGATAAACCATCCTTCATCTCATCAGCACGCTCTCAAACCTAAATGTTTCATATTCATACTACATTTTGGAGTTTCCCATTAAGGACCCAAAGTTCTCAGTCTCGAAAAGGGATGCAAACACAAAGGAATCAAATTAATTTTTTGTTAAAGTTACAGTGGTGCAGCATGCTGGTCAGTGGTGCCTCTTATTAAACTCATTTCAGAGTCCAGTAGTTTGTTTGATTATGATTCAATTAAGTTTTTTTTTCTTCTTATCAGAAAAAAGTAGTTTAAATAAATGTTAAAAAGGCTTTTTTTTTCTAAATAAAATATGAAACGTCACATTTTTGTTTAGTAGTCAAAAGCTGATGTGCAGGAAACTAATTTTGGTTTGAATCTGGGTTCATGTTTGTAATCACAGGAGAAGCAAAATCTTTTTTTGGATATACATCATGATGTGGTTTAAGTATGCTCTGAAATGTAGAAACAGTGCCCCATACAGTCAAAGTATGCAATGGTAGCAGTATTATTTGCATTGAATGTTGGTTTAATTTTTCTTTAACATTGAAAAGGATATAAACTAATACTTAGGTTTTTTCTAATTTCTATTTAATTAGAGAGAGAAAATGGTTTTTAAATTCAACAAAAAACTTTTAATATAAAAGCAAATAGCCACCCCTTTTATTTATTTATTTTTTCATTGTTAATATGTGGATAAATGAAAATCAATCCCAACAACACACACAGATTTTACTTAAAATTAGAGGTATCCTTCAAATTATGAGCAAAATGAATGAGTTAGATGCAAGTAGGCTACATTAAATTTGGATTTGTAGCAGAGAAAAATGGTAATATAATTTTGCACCATTTTGTAAATTAATTCTTACACTGTAAACCCGTAAGTTGAAAGTAATTATTAAACTTAGTAGTTAAAACGTTACAATTTCTACTAACTCAAATGTGTTGAGTTAGTGTAATATATTCTTTTGGTTTGACTACATTTAACTCAAACTTTTGGATCAGTCTGATTTATTTTGCTTATTAATAAAGCATAAGTTAAAGTACTTAATAAAGACTGAAAATAAAATCCCACTGGGGTCAATTCCAAATGATTATCATTGCACTCCCAAAATATAAAAAAATGGTTTGGGATCTTAATGTATCTATTAAATAAAGCCATACAATTTACTAGATAATTCATGCTTGATTGATTGATTGATTGATTGATTGATTGATTTTATTATTATTTTTTTTTTGGAGTATTTCATTTCCTACTTTCTGCAACAAAAACTCGTAGTCTTTCTGTGAAAACATTAACTATAAGGCAAGTTTAATGAAAAAAACACACACAATACAACAAAAGAAACAACTACACTGCAGACCCTAATAAGTTAAAATCAAAACTGGTAAAAAAACAACAAAACAAAACGAAGAAGTCTATTAAATCAAAATATCTTTAAGTAATGAATTACTTTAAAGGATATTTTTGCCAACTTCAAATTTATTATGTTTTTCTTTTTGAATAAGTCAAGTTTACTTAAAGATTACATTCTTATTTAATTCAAGGTTACACTAAATTCTAGAAAACAAGTACAATAGAATGTTTGAGTTATATGTATGTCTTCTGAGATTATTTTATTAACATAAATGGTTTATTGACTGCTTCCAATGAAATCTTGATTAGTCCAGCAATTTAAAAGACCTGTCAAATACCACCCTAATAACTCACACAATATTGGTCAGATTATAATGAATTACAGCTAATTATAGTACTAATATAGCGCATAGAATTGATATTTTATTTCTATTTGCAGCACTGGCCCCACCTATTGCCAAATAATCAACTAATGAGGTCTAATTGATCTCAGCCAGGTCCCACAACTTTCAAATATTTAACTTGTTTACATGACGTCAGCTTACATACATTAAATTATCAAAGATATTTTGTCCAGTATGTTCACACTAATTATTTAAGATACAAACACTGACATTTTTTTTTTTTATTAAAAATGTTATCCTAAAGTTTGGCGGTTTTATTTTATCATCTGCGTTCACTGTCTGTGCTAAATGGCACCGCTATTCCTGTATCCAGATCATGGACCGCAACCATCAGGCTGCTTCTGATCCCTACCATCTTTATCCTGCTCTGTGTTTACCCGTGATTTTTAAACCCTGGTTTAAATAAATTCTTATGAACCCAAACTAGAATGACTGTGGTACTTTTAAACACGCAGGTCGAACCCTGTAAAGCGTTCTCGTGCGCGCGCTCTGAAAGTA